AGCTAGTGAGTGAATATACATGTGCTAAATGTTTTTTGAGTCTTTCATGTCTGAGATATAATGTTAACTGCTGTTTTAGAATTCAAAGTTGAATTTAAATGTGAACATTTAAAATTTATTTACCTTGGCGGTGGGCATTGTGATACATCACATTAAGCCACTTCTTGGGACACCCAAGTCGCATTGTCAGAATACTTGGGATTGTGCCCTGTCTCTTCTTCTGATTCAGCTTCCCACAAATGTGCCTGGGAGGCAGCAGATGACTGCCCAAGTACTTGGGTTTCTGCTAACACAGTCAGAGATAGGAATAGTGTTATTGGCCCCTGATTTTTTTTCTGACGCCCATCCTTGGCTGTTGCAGGCATTTGGGAGATTGATCAGCATATCAATCCCACCCTGTCACTCTGACTTACAAATACATCAGACTTAAGAAAAAAAAAGCCCATTGTTTTCATTAAATACTGATTTTAGAAAATTTTTTAAAATGTATATTTATTTTGAATTTTGAATTATGTGGTACAATTTCTTATAAGCTGAGATTTCCCCACCTCCAAAACTCCCACTCCCTGACAGATTTCCCCCATTTTACTACAATGATGTAGTCCTTCATAAGGAATCATAATTCTATCAGTCTCTTATTTAAATGTACCACAACATTGTTGGTACAGACAATGTCAGACAGTCCAGCATCCCATTCTCTACACATGTCCAATAGTTTCATTGGGAATCTATCTTTCATCTGGAAGCAGGGATGCATGTTCCATTATACCCCAACATCTGTATATGATAGACCCCAGTACTCCATCATTATACATTTCCATAATTGAGAAGCCATGAAATAAGGTCAACAACTGGCATGAGTTAGAACAGCCACAATAACAACAACAAGAACAAATTACAGCACAATGAAAAAACACGCCACTGAGTAACAAACACATGAATGACAAAAGGGAAACATAAAAGTCTCTTGGGAAAAGTGATGCCATCGTGAAATCCATGAGCCAGTGATGAATTTGACAAGAGAAAAGAGATTATTTGGAATGAACCAAACTGAAATAAAAAAACATCAAAACACATGGGATACAGCCAAACAAACAAACAAACAAAAAAACAGTATGGATCAGATTACTGAAGTTGCTGAGTTATTGATTATTGAATACTGATGTTTGAGTAAAAAAAAAATAGTTGGATTCTAGAATAAAGAGTTCTTGATGGCCCAGCACAATAGCATCATGGCTAAAGTCCTTGCCTTGAATGTGCTGGAATCCCATATGGGCGCCGGTTCTAATCCTGGCAGCTCCACTTCCCAAGTAACTCCCTACTTGTGGCCTGGGAAAACAGTCGAAGACGGCCCAAATCTTTGGGACCCTGCACCCGCATTGGGAGACTTGGAAGAGGCTCCTGGCTTCAGATTGGTTCAGCTCCAGCCATTGTAGTCTGTAGACTGATACTAGGTTATACCAAAGCCAGGAGCCTGGAACTCCATCTGGGCCTCCCATGCGGTGGTAGGGGGGCAAGTGCTGTAACCATCTTCTGCTGCTTTCCCAGAAACATTAGCAGGGAGCTGCATCAGAAGTGGAGCAACTATTTGAAAAGGTGCTCATGGGATGCTGGTGTCACAGAGTTAACCCACTGCAGCACAATGCTAGCCCCAAAACAAAAGTTTTTGCTGGTGTGTGTATCACCAACAAAGATTGATAGTCATTGACAAGATAACTGGACAAGTTGTGAAACACAAAGATGAAAGCTTACATATATGTGCAAAAATGGGTGTAATCTTGTTTTGGTATGCAGTACTTGAACTAGAGGCTTGTCTAAAACAGAAAAATGGGCCAGGGCAGGTGGTTCTGGTTAAAGCCTATGTAGGGAAAGCCAGTGAGAAGAACAGTAGAGTTAGATATGAGAAGGGTATCATTGACAGTGAATGGCCCAGTAACTGTGGATTTGGGAATATGTGGAATGCTGTGGGATGCTGAGTTCAACAAGATAATGTGCAAATAGTAATATGTATTTTTGAAAATTTCATAAGTCAGAAGATGGCATATATATTTGTAACTATACATAAGTAGAAATCAACTACTGCTGCTGCATTATAGAAAGACAAATAATTTTCTCAGTAATTTGGTTGCTTTTTTGTATGTAGAGGTTGTTTTTTGATGTTTTTTTTATATTTTGTCATGTACCACTGATTTTTATAGAGAAAATAGTCCAGATGTGCAATTCATTTATTGTTTAGAGAAGGAGCAATATTAACTTGCCTTTCAGAAGAATCTGATCTAAGAAGCTAATTTTCTTCAATAAATTGATGGTGCTTTTCAGAAAGACTGTGTCCATTTTACAAATGTCTTTCTGGTGTTACCATGGGGAGTTCTGTATATTGCATTTTTCCAGCTCTACTTTTAGAACATTGCCCAAGGGGTAAAGCACTGCCCCATGGTAAATTTCATTGGAATCTATCAACCAGTTATATAGAAATGTTTGGCAAAACTGGTCCCTCTTTTTTTTTTTTAAGGTTTATATATTTATTTAATTTGAATTAAGGCGGGGGAGGTAGAAAGAGATCTTTTATCCACTGGTTCATTGTACAAATGGCAATGGCTGGCACTGGTCTAGGCTAAGCAGGAATCTGGAACTCCATATGGGTCTCTCATATGAGTGGCAAGGACTTAGGTACTTGGGCTTGCCGGAGTCCAGCTCCAGCTGAGTTCAGAACTCGAGAAGGGTGCGTGGATGAGGTGCAAAGAGAGAGAGAGACGGACCACTAGGATTCCATGACCATTGTGGACAATGCAATAAAGCTGTCTGCTTTATTTATACAGAACCAGTCAAACTCTGGCTCAGACTCTTTACGTCATGTTAAGTGGGTGTTTCTAAGGATAATTCTGCCATTTGTTTCACTTTAAAGCAGGATGTTATCCATCCTGGCGCTGTGGTTAGGAAGTTCTCAATAGATGGTGCATATCAATCAGTAACACATTCCTGCTACAATCCTCAGTCTACAGCTTAGTCTAGAATCAGTTAAGGGAGGAAAGGGAGGAAGGCAGGACCTAAAGGTCAAAGAAGGAGGGAAAGAATAGATTCCCACTACACCTGGGGACGGAGTACCCTTGATTATTATATGGTCAATGGGAACAGAGACAGCAATAATAAAAGGCTCTTTGGCTAAAACAGTATCAGCAACATCAACTTCCAAGCTCACATTGGTAGTAAACATTAACTCCACAGAGGCAGACAATGCCTAAACAGATTACAAAATTCTCAGCGGGGTTGTCCAGTGTCCATGCAAAGGGAGGTGGAGCTGCATTCAGGTTGTTACCGGGCCCTACCAAACAGCAGGAAGTTCCTTGAGGCCCTGTCTGCATTGGAACAATACTCTTCACACCTTCCTGTCTTCCATACCTATCACACGGACCATGGGCCATCTTCAGCTGCCTTTTCAGGTGCACTAGTATGATGTTGGATCAGAAGTGGAATAGCCAAGCTGGGGTTGTGTAGCAGGGAAAGCCTGCACCTGTAATGCTGGGTTCCAACATGGTCATTGGTTAGTGTCTTGGCTGCCCCACTTCTGATCCAGCTTCCTACTAATGGCCTGGAAAGGTAACAAAGAATGGTCTAAGTGCTTAGGCCCATGCCATCCACATGAGAGATAGGTATGGATTCCTGGCTCCTGGCTTTGGCCTGGTGAAACCCTGAGCATAGCTGCCATCTGGAAATTGAAACGTCTGTCTCTCTATCTCTGTCTTCTTCTCTCTCCATATCTCTATATCTGTAACTGAATGACATTCAAAAAATAATTAAATCTTTTTTAAGATTTATTTTTTTTATTGGAAATTCAGATATATGGGGAGGAGGAGGGACAGATGGGAAGATCTTTGGTCTGTTGATTCACTCCTCAAGCAGCCTCAACAGCCAGAGCTGGCCTATCCAAACCCAGGACTCTGGAGCCCCATCCAAGTCTCGCACGCGGGTACAGGGTCACAAGACTTTGGGCCATCCTCGACTGTTTTCCCAGGGCACAAACAGGGAGCTGGATGGGAAGTGGGGCCATCGGGATTAGAACCAGTGCCCATATGGGATTCCGGCACATACAAGGCAATGACTTTAGCTGCTAGGCTACTACACCTGGTCCAAAAATAGTTAAATCTATACAAAGTGGAACTTCAACTTGACTGCATCAGAAATGGTAATTCAACCCACTTTTCTACACTGCCCACAAAACTATTCTTTTAACCAGTATCTAATGGTGCAGAAGGAATGGACATGAGGTTAATAATAAAACGCTGTAAAGGTAGTTAGAACAGTGGAAGAGGGGACTAGTGTTGTAGCACACCAAGTAAAGCTGCTATTTGGAAAAAAAATCATAAAAGGTATTTCAGAAAGAAATGAGGTTGAAGGCTTTAAGAACAGATTTTAAAATATGGAGAAGAGGAAAGAATAAAAAGAAACACAGAGGAAAAGTAGTTGGGAAATACAATTTGACATTTTTAAAGAGTAACATAATTTGCTTCATACTTGAACCACAGATCTTTTCAGGTATGTATTTAAAGCATGATCATCTTTAACACTGACTAGCTGGGGTTTAAAATGTTTCAAAGATTTATTTAAAGGCAGAGTTACAGAGAGAGAGTGGGAGATAGCAGAAAGAGAGGGAGAGAGATATTTCATTTGCTGATACAGTCCTCAAACAGCCACAACAGCCAAGGTTGGGCCAGGCTGATGCCAGGAGCCAGGAGCTTTTTGCGGGTCTCCTTCATGGGTGCAGTGGCCCAGGCTCTTGGGTTGTTTTCTACTATTTTCCCAGGCCTGTTAGCAGGGAGCTGGATTTAAAATGGAGCAGCTGGGACAGGAGCCAGTGCCCATATGGGATACTGGCATTGTGGGCAGTACCTTAACCCGTTACCCCTGTGGTTTTAATTTAGTGCATGTTTGAATAAAGGAAATAATCTATGAGTATTAACTCCTCACTCTAAAATTCTTCTCCCTCCTTTTTCTCTCCTAAGCAGATCCCAGAGTCATTAGGAAATACCACAAAGCAGAGATTGGGAAAAGGCAATTCAAGAGAATTATTAGATGCTACAAAGGTAAGATTAAGCAAATGCTTCTGCATATAGCTAGGAAAAATGTGTAAGCCGTTGGAGTATTTCCCAATTTATACTACATATTTTATATTTCCCAAATAATTTTCTTTTTTATATTTTCCTAAACACTGGCAGGAAGGTATGCTCCTGGAAATGAAGAGAGAAATCTCGATGTTTTTCTGCCCCTGGAGAAATCTGTCTGAATCCCTTGAGATCAGTGCCAACCACAGTAACATTTTCAGAAAGCTTTTATAAATGTAATGGCAGCTTGTTGACACTTAAATTTATCCTGGTAATTTGTATCTGATATGTGGAATGCTGTTAACTTTTTCAAGTGAGTGAAGTTTCTTTACCTTAGAAGATGTTCAGAAAGCAGAATATCAAGGGATTGTAAGCTTATTAGAGCCGGTGGCGTAACCGATGCTGAGTTTACATGTTGATGAGGGTTATTTTTCATTGCTAATGTAAGTGAAAGACATCTTTAAAAATTCCTAGTGTCTTAAAATAAGACATGTTAGGAAAAGACTAGAAAATTAGAAAATGATATAAACCCTGAGTACTTTAGTTTTTCTTTCTGACTGATAATTATTTGCCACCAAGGTACAAAAGTATTCTCATTTATGCAGAAGCTGAAAATTAATTAGATTTCAATGATTAAGTTAAAGCTTTAAAAGAAAATGTACACGATCTTCTCATTGTCTGTGAAACCACTGAGATTACTTATATTTTAGTCTTTTTCTTTGCTGAAGACCCTAATTATCGCATGTGGTTTTCACCAGACCCCTTGATAAAAGTTGTTGCCTAGTCTTTTAGAGGAGAAAATGTGACAGAGACATTGTCAACTCGAAATTACCTTTTGATGTTTTCTTTTTACAAAATGCTTCAAGATTGTTGATCCAAAAATCAATAATCCATTTATGGCAATTACTTTTAGAGTCTCAACTGGTGAGAACCAGAGGACGTCTTAGCTTTTTTGTAACTCCATTTTCAAAGCTTGGCCCTGAGCTGATGCTGTAATAATGTGTATAGTATTGATACACATTTGTTTTTGTTAAGAACTGAGTCCTTGTTCTTTAATTATTGATTATTATGGTTACTGAAAAAGCATCATTCAATCCAGTGTATCTCATTTAGTATTTTTCAATTGTGAGAATACTTTAATATCAGCAAACCTTAATTTTAAGCATATTCTTTTTGTTTTTAAAGATTTATTTATTTTTATTGGAAAGGCAGATATACAGAAAGAAGGAGAGACAGAGAGAAAGACCTTCTGTCCGCTGGTTCACTCCCCAAGTGGATGCAACAGATGGAGCTGAGCTAATCTGAAACCAGGAGACAGGAACCTGCTCTGGGTCTCCCACATGGGCACAGCGTCCCAAGGCTTTGGGCCATCCTCTACTGCTTTCCCAGGCCACAAGCCGGGAGCTGGATGAGAAGTGGAGCAGCCAGAACGTGACCCAGGACTCACATTGGATCCTGGTGCATGCAAGACGAGGATTTAGCCATTAGGCTGGGTCCAAGCCTATTCTTTATACTATCTTTTCAACTATTGTATTTGCTTGAATTTGTTTTATACATCACTAGCCTCAGCAGCAATCATAAAGCTCTTTACAAGATTTAAAATGGTTAAAATATTTAATATTTTAAGGCTAGCTGGGAGTATTTTAGATAGCTATATGTTATAAGTGAGTCTTAACAGGCATTGAGACCTAGATTGCCTAAATGTAGGACCCACTTGAATGTGTTAAGGGTGGAAAGATAAAAAGATATTGTCATTCATCTAAAGTTTTCCATTAAATAGGAAAGACAAAACATGTATAAAAATTTCTGTAGCATAAAGATATGTTATGACATGTTCAAAATATTTTATTTCTAAATATAACAGGTTTTTCAGAAGGTTCATAGAGACAAGCTATGCTTGATTTTTTAAAAAAAGTTTGCACCAAAATAAACTTATGTCTGGATTTTGTTTTCCATTAACTTTTAGAAAATTTTTAAAAAAATTTTATTTGAAATATAGGGAGATAGAGAAAGAGATCACCCATTCACTCCCCAAATGCCTGCAACAGTCAGGAATGGGCCACACCAGAGCTGGGGACTAGGAACATGCCTTGTGCTGCAGTGGGTTAACCTATCACCTGCAACAAATGGCATCCTGACTTGAGTCCTGGCTGCTCTGTTTCTGACCCAGCTCCTGATCCAGCTCCCTGCTAATGAGCATAAGATGACTGAAGTGACTGGCCCTGCCACCCAAATGAAGTTCCAGGCTCCTGGCTTCAGCCTCGTGCCCTTTGCTTCCATTTGGGGATTAAACCGGTGGATAGAAGTGTTGTTTCTCCCTGTTTTTATGTTGCTTGATCTTTCCTTGTGCCTTTCAACAAAATAAAATAAATCTAGGTCTCCTACGTGGGTGCAGGGACCCATGTGAACCATCAGCACTGCTTCCCAAGGTATACATTACGAGGATTGGAAACAGGATTTGAATCCAAGATACTCTCAAATGGGTTGTGGTCATCCCAAGTAATCTCTAACTGCTGTGGCAAATATTCCCTATTTTTAATAGAGAGGACCCTTTTAAGTGTTTAAAAAAATTTCTTTTTTCACTTTATTTGAAAAGCAAAGAGAGGAAGAGAGAGAGATATATCAATCTTAATTGGTGGTTTACTCTTCAAATGCACGCAACAGTCAGGGCTGGGCTAGGCTGAAGCCAGGAGCTAGGAATTGAGATGTCAATTAATTAAATATATATTATATTTGCTTGCTTATAATCATATACTGTATTGCCAGCATTATACTTGTGCTTACTGGATGACATAAGAAAACCGGTATACAAATGAAATATGAATGTAACGTAAATTGAGTCTTGTAAACATTAATTTTAAGAGCTAGAGACAGTGACTTATGAATAAGAATTCTATATAAAAATTCATGATAGTTCAAAATCGCTTATATACATTTAACTGTAGGCTAATTCTGATGGTATTTTTACTTACTATTCCAGACTAAAAGCTAATTTCAGCATTTGGGAATTACTCGTTAGATTAGACTAACCCAGATGTTTAAAAACTTTAAATTGCTTACTTGGTATCCTTATCCACTAGGCTCTCCAGGCATGGCCACTGATAGAAAAGAGATCATGTTGGCATGGTCATGCAGGAGGAGGACTCCATACGGACCCAAAAGAAGGGGTAAGAACTGGAAACTTTTGTTGATAAATATACTTAAACGGAAGATAATAGGTATTTAAGAATACTTGACCCATCTAACTTCTTATTCTGTCATGCAGAACCATTTGAATTGGTCTTGACTAGATAGATAAAATCATCTCCTGCTTAAACACAAAAATCATGATTCACTCAAAATAATTGTCAACCTAAAGACATCTTAGTTCTTTATTTTTTAAATTTTACTTTGATAATCTTTATATAGTTGATTAGTGTGTGACGGGTCAAGGGCTACAGGAAAGTGGGTAAGACCATTGTTTCCACATTCTCTCTCTCTTTTTATTTTGTATCTTGGGTAAGAGGGGAGATAAAGGGAGAAGCCACACCCAGCCTCCCACCCATCCCTGGTCTCCGACATGGGGCATGCTCCGAGGGTCCTGCTCAAATGATAGTCCTACAGTTCTCAGTTGCTGCCAATCTTGCCATTCCAAGCACGATGAAATGTCCCCAGAATACACTGGCTGACATAGTCTACCTTACAGTCTCCCTTTGCACAGATATGCACTGCCAACACTTGGCTGGGGTAGTTGATCTATTTGTTCTGTCCTATGTGCTCTGTTGTGGTACTGGGTATCCTCTGCAGGTTCTGATGGACTGCCATATCCTCCATGTGCAGCTGGATATGCTTTGCACTGCTCTGCCTGAACACTAAGCACTGAGCATCTTCGTTCTTAAAAGTAATATTGGTTGTGGTTATTTGTTATGTAATACAATCTTACAAATAAGTAGACATATTAGAGCTAGCTATTACAAGTAAGTTGTGTGTATTTTAAGGTTAATGTTTCCCTTTCTCTACATTTGACTAGAAAAATCCTAGAATATCTCATAATTTCGTGACAAAAACGTATCTATATAGCTAATCCATCTATTTAAGTATCTATATTCTTTATCTTTCTGCAAATACACTAATCAGTATAGCCACTAGGAAAAAATTTCATTGCACTATACTTTTTCTTAGTGAATGAGAATGTCATTAAAATAGTGTTACACATTTCTCCATCTGTCCCTTTTTCTCTGGGCTTGCCTTTATTTTCCTTGTCTTGTTTGATCCAGTCTGTGTATATCTAAGTAGAAATAATATTTTTAGTGTTGGTAATCAAATTAATTGATTTAATGTTAAATTGCTCTGTAAACGCGAGAGGTAAGTAATTGTTAGTTGTTTTATTGATAGAGGTTGATTGGTAAGAAATACTGTTCAGTGCTTTTCTTAGATTCCATGTGTAGCTTTTTTCTTTCAAGGAACTCAAGTTTCACATCTGTTTCTAACCCCCTTTGCACATTACCATCCGTTATGTCCATCAAAACAGCCACATGTCGTAAGAGAAAATATTTTAAAATGAAGCCAAGTAGTGATATTTGTTTATCTCTGTGTTAGTCTTTGGCATGGTATTTGCCAGCCTGTCAGGATCCTCTGTTACCGAGACCTCTTAAGGCTAGTTACTGATACTGCTATAAACACACCCAAAAACTATGCTGACTAATAAAGAAGTAGTCACTTCTCTTAAACTCAAGCAATAGACACTTCAAGGTAGTTTCTTCTCCAATGAAATAAAACAGAACAAAATCATTGTTAATATTTTGTAGTTTTTCTTTGTTCTTTTCTCCCAACCACCTTTGTATTACTGTAGCTTTACTAGCTAAATAGAATCATAGAATAATGAATCTTGCAGTTTATGCCTTATATTAAAGAATCTGAACCCTGGAGCCATACTACCTGGATTTTAATTATGCCCTCACTTTCTAAAGGAAATAACCTTGAATGACATACTTGATTTCTGTGTGCTTCAGTTTCTTCATCTGCACAATGGGAATGATCATTCCAATTGAAATGAGTTAACTCTTCACAGTGTGTTCGAATTCTTAAATAGTGCCTGATACATAGTAAGAACTCAGTAAATATTGGCTGTTATTGTAATGTGAGATTGTAAAGTTTGTCATCTATCATAATTCGTTCATTTTAAAGGTATATTTTTAATACCTTTTTTGTACTGAACTCTGGGTTAATTACCAGAGATAGAATAATGAAGACTAATGAACAAGAAACAGTCCCCTGCCGTTTAGAAACTGAAGTTTACAAGGCAGATTGTCTAAACTATAATGTAGAAGGTTTATCACTCTAACAAAGACTTTACTTAAAACCAGCTGACATCTTTATTACTTATTCATTGCTACTTGTGTGTATTTAATGGCTATTAGTCAACATTACTATGCACATCAGAATGTATTTATCTTTTTATCCAGTATGGTTATAATAAAGGGTTCATGAAAAAGCAGTGGTAATCCAGTATTTTGAAACTCCTGTTCTGTTTTTAAAGATTTGTTTTTCATTGAAAAGGCAAATTTGCCGAAATGAGAGAGAAAAATCTTCTGTCCACTGATGCATTCCCCAAATGGCTGCAATGTCCAGAGCTGACCCGATCCAAAGTCGGGTGCCAGGAGTTTTTTTCCTGGTCTCCCACATGGGTGCAGGGTCCCAAGGCATTGGATCATCTTCGGTTGCTTTTCCAGGCCATAAGCAGGGAGTTGGATGGGAAGCAGAGCAGCTGGGACATGAACTGGTGCTCATGTGGGATGTTGGTGCTTGGAGGTGGAGGATTAGCCAGCTGAGCCAAAGCACCAGGCCCCAGTCCTGTGTTCTTAATGAGGATGTCAGTATTGCAATACTTAATGCAAACATTGCTTCTCAGAATTTTCTTGATTTATTCTTTTTTATTTAGAAATACTTCCTCATTGATTGAATACAATCTGAAGTTAACATTGTTAAAGGTCGGCACTTAGTAGAGCCATCTCAGAAGTTTGATATAAATTTTGATATAACTAGAAGAAATGAAACAGCCACCTAGAGTATTAAAAATTAGAGGATTAGGGAGATAATGTAATAATGAAAGTTTAGGCTTGTTAAAATGAATGGGTACTCAAACCAGTGGATAGGAATACCTGGATGACATGGCAAGACTATTCTCTTATTTTATATATCATCAAGCAGCCTTCTGATGTTCATTTGGTTTCTCAAATTGACTTCTCTTTGAAAGAGAAATCACTGACTGGCCCTGGGAATATCAGTTTGCTTAATAGTTAGTTTTCTTGTAAATTATTACTTAGACTGGTACAAATTCATTCAATATGTGGCACAATCCATTTTTTTTTTTTTCATAGAGCCTAACCACTGCTGGGTAATGCTCTTTGTTGAAATTTCAGACCAACAGAACCTAAAAATCAAGCCCTGAGCTGTAGAGTAAAAAATTATAAAAGCTTTTTCTTAAAATTAATGTATATTATCCTTCCCCACCCAAACTTACTATACTTACATCTCCAAATAATATAGGGAAAGTTTTCCAGTTATCATTTGGATTTTATAGTTAAGCAGCTACTGAACTTATTCCTTTTGACCCAGTTTTACTGTTTGCCCTAAAAGTATTAAGGTAGTGGTTTCAATTATTCGCTTAATTGCATGTCCCTTTAGCTTGGGTTGAAGAGGTAGTTCTTTTCTCTGAGCAATTGCTTGCTCTTGAAATTGTGGGCGCTTCCGAATTTTCTGCTAAATGAGTTCTTCAGGGAGAAAATATTCAGCCCAAAACCCATATTTTTATAAAACAGATAGTATTCCAAATTTTTTCCTATAGTCTTTCTCACCACCAAGTTTTGCCCTCATGTAGCTTCATTTCAAACAAGTCCCTTGATTTGTGAGACGTTCTTATTGTTAATATGTAAGAATGTTTGTAAAACAAGTTTTTTTTGAAATATTTGCTTATTTTTATTGGAAAGGTAGATGAGATTTATGGAGAGAAACCTGGATTAAGCTCCTGCCTCCTTGCTTCAGATTGACCCAGCTCTGGTCATTGCAGCCATTTGGGTAGTGAATTAACAGATGGAAGATCTCTCTTTTCTTTCTCTCTGTATTTCTGATTTTCAAACAAATAACAAAAAATAACTGTATGTTAATAAAGGCACGTTTTATTTCTCAGATGGTTAACTTTATACCTCTCACCAGTAAAGGTTGTCAAACACTGAAGCCAAAGCACATTTGTTCACCAAAAGCTCATTTCTTACAAGGTAGTGGAACCCTTTGGGCCTTTTTGCTTTTCAGTTTTGCTTTTGGCCTTTGGCCTTTGAGAAGAAAATGAAGCAGTTTAAAAAATTATCTTTTGATAAAGGTTATGGAATCACTACTTCTTTAGCTAGTGAAGAATATAAGAAGCCTGGTTTTGGGCCCAGCACGATAGCTCAATGGCTAAATCCTTACCTTGCACACACTGAGATCCCATATGGGTGCTGGTTCATGTTCCAGTTGCTCCATTTCCCATCGAGCTCCCTTCTTGGGGCCTGGGAAAGCAGTCAAGGCCCAAGCACTTGGTACCATCTTCTGCTGCTTTTCTCACACACATTAACTGGATTGGAAGTAGAGCAACTGGGATTCAAACCAGTGCCTATATTGGGATGATGGTACTGCTGATAGCAACTTTACTCACTACATCACAGTGCCATCCCAGTTTTCTTTTCTTTCTTTTTTTAAAAAGATTTATTTATTTTATTGGAAAGGCAGGTGCACAGAGAGGAGGAGAGACAGAGAAAAAGATCCTCCATCCGATGATTCACTCCCCAAGTGAGCACAATGGCCGGTGCTGCGCCAGTCCGAAGCGAGGAGCCAGGAACTTCCTTCCGGGTCTCCCACACGGGTGCAGGATCCCAAGGCTTTGGGCCGTTCTCGACTGCTTTTCCAGGCCACAAGCAGGGAGCTGGATGGGAAGTGGAGCTGCTGGAATTAGAACTGGTGCCCACATGGAATCCTGGCGCGTTCAAGGCGAGGACCTTAACCACTACACTATTGTGCCAGGCCCAGTTATCTTTTCAAAATGATTTATTTGCTGGAAATCAGAGTTAATAGAAAGAGGAGAGAGATCTTCCATCTGCTGAAATGACTGCAACTGCTGGGGCTAGTTCAGAAGCTTTTCCAGATCTCCCAC